CTCTCTCTCTCTCTCTCTCTCTCTCACTCATCCGTTTAAATCATCATGTCAATGATCCTATGACGATGCCAGATGAGGAAGACACATTATTATATCGATACTATGCTTACCCATGCCTGCTGTGCAAATTTCCGGACTACGGACTATGTCCTAACTTTTTTTTATTTAATTGAATATATAATTTCTCATTTAAAATGTCTAATCTTTTAAATATTATCAATTTTTTCTTTCTTTCTTTCTTTCTTCCTTTCATTTTTCTTCTTTCAAATATCATTCTTATATCATACGTGTGTAAACCGATGTAATGGAAGTTATATTCATAAGTATAGTTTATACATGTCTACTGTGTAAATTTCCGTATTACGGGCTTACGTGCTTACCTTTTTTTTCTTTTTTTTTTTTTTAATTGTATATAAATAATTTTTCATTTAACAAAACGTCTAATCTTTGAAATATTATTATTTCTTTTTTTGGTCCTTTTTTTTATATTTTTTTTTTTTGTTTTTTTTTTTTCTTCAAATATCACTCTTATGATTTATTCATGCTTACAATGGAAATTTAATTGACTAAGTCGTAAAAAATTTTTATAGAATTAATTGCAAATATAATTTCCTATTAAACATTTCTATTTCTATAAAATATTATTAACATTTACAAATATTTATTATTTATTATTATTTATTATTATTTATTATATTATAGTTGCATTATATAGATAATCAAATGTAGTCGATATAATATAAATTATATTGATAACATTACGTATACATAATCGCTGTACAGATTTTTCGATTACTCGTATCTAACTTTGATTAATTTCAAATATCCTTTATATTTATATATATATAATTTTTATCTCACTTTTAAATATTATTAATTTTCAAAAATATAATTCTTTTATTCATATATACGTGTAAATAATCAGCGTGTACGACGAATTAATGTTAAACATAAAACAAACTTGAAACCCTTATAATGAATTATATTCGTTCTTGTTAAGCTGATAATTCTAAAGAACAGACAAAGAGAAAGAGAGAAAGAGAAAGAGAGAGAGAGAGAGAGAGAAAATAAATGATTGTGCAATTTCAGTATCTCCTTCTTTCTCATTCGTACGTCGAGATGATCGACGAGTTCCAAGAATGCCACGAACGTCGCGATAAATCAATGATAATTGCATTTCTTTTACACTCTCGATGGTTGGCTTTGTTTTCGCGCCCCAACCGACGACTACTTTCCTCTCAGGTCTATTAGTAGTCAGTGGATGCACCCGTCCGACCATTGTCTCTCTAGCAGTCCGGTAACTGGTAATTACCACACGTCATTAACGCCCTTCCCTTAATGACTCTCGGCATTGAAATTTTCCCGTGAATTTCCACGCATTTAACTATCACCTCTCGATTGATTTATTATGCGTTTAATATATTTCTATTTATTTACTTTCTTCTCCTTCTTTTTTTTCTGCTTTTTTTTTTTTTATTCTTTGTTTCCCCCCCCCCCCACCCCATTTCTTTTTCCTATTATTTCATTGACTCTTACGTAGATTTTTTTTTTCTTTTATTTCTTTTTTTATCCTTTTACAGATTTTATCCGAAAGTTCCCGTTTGATTTTTAATATGAAAAATGACTTCGTTCGAACACGATCGTACGAAATTTTTTAATAATATAATACAAATTATAATAATAATATAAACATTCCTAATATTTCTATAGTTAAAAAAAAAAAAAAGGAAGAAAATATATATATATATATATATATATATATATATATGTACTATTTTATTAAATTGTAAAAAAATGTCTAAATACTAATATGTTTTAACGATGTTTGGGTATGATTGATTAACAAAATAGAATTTATTTTCTAGATTTTAGAGATAAACATTTTATTGGCATTCTTTTTAATTTTAATTGATATATACGTACGTCACGAGGGACGGTGGAAAGTAATCGCGACTCAGTATCGCAAAGAATCGATTTACCTGGAAGAACGGAGACGCGATAAACTTATCCTAACGCGAGAACCTGCAATTAGCCTCCATAGTAAAATGTCTTCTAATCGGTTAATAACGCCCATGAGCAAATAGCAAACACTAATTGGCTGAACGGAATATTGCCGCGAATGAAGTAGAGAGTTTACTGACTGATTTGATATTAGTGCTTCCTTATAAATGGCGCCAGAATTTTTAACATATTATTACTGTCCGTCGTTAAACATATCTTTTACTTTTCTTCTTTTTCTCCTTTTTTTTCTTTTTTTTTTTTTTTGTTATTATTAATTTTTTTTTCTTTTTTTAAAAAAGAAAAAAAGCAAAAGAACAAGAAGAAAGACTCCCATTTCCAATTAACGTACGATAAAACGTTTGAAATATTTATTTACATTAAAATTCGGATATTATACGATAAACATGTCCAAATGAATTAGAAATAAATGGTAATTTCGTAAAACGTCCATAATAATCTATCGAGTAATGATTATATTTTCACGTTAACACGTTTCATCCGTCACTAACGCGATTGATATATCAACGTGATATATGTTAATTTGCGAACTATCTAACATTTACAATATTATTACGTGGAAGTAATTATAAACGACATTTATTAATCTATCGTGGCATGATCATCTAATAAATAGTCTATAAAACTTGAAAACGATCGATTGCTATGTACTATACGTGTATATAAATAAAAAAAAAAAAAAGAAAATTTGTAATTATTCGATGCCATATAAAAAGCTGTAGAAAAGGAGAGAAAAGAAAAAAAGGGAAAGAACGAACGAAGTTACACGTGATAAAATCGTGAGAAAATGAAAGAAAAGGAAGAAGAAGAAGAAGAAGAAGAAGAAGAAGAAGAAAAAACTAAACAACAACAATAATATAAATAATAATAATAAAAATCGCACGCAAAAAAAAACAAAGTCTAAATAAACAAATAAATAAATAAATAAAATCAAGAAATCGAATAAATGACGAATAACTATGAAAGATTTAATGAATCATCATTGTTCTATGACGAATAAATTAATTAAAAGACATTACCAATTAAGTTGATAAAACGTCGAACGTTTCATTTGAAAGTGCAATTGGCTATTTCGTACAAAGAAAGAGCCGCGTTTAAAAGGCATTTAAGAAAGAGAAAGAGAGAGACAGAGAGAGAGAGAGAGAGGGAGAGGAAGAGAGATAGAGATAGAGAAAGATAAAAAGAGATATCAGAGAGAAGTCGAGGCGGCAAAAGACGATGCGACGCCGACGCGGCAAACGCGGACGCGGACGCGACACCAAGTTCACGATGCAAACGTCTCAAGATGAGTGGCGGCGAGTATGCAGGCGCATGCATATCCGTCTTTCGAGTCTGCACCACGTATGCATATATATATGTATGTATGTATGTATGTATGTATGTATGTATGTCTTCTTCTTTCGCGTTCGTCTCGGTTTAAAATACAACGAAGAAGGAAAGTCAAAGTGTCTGCTATACACAGAAGAAGAAGAGAAAGAAGAAAAAGAAGAAAAAGAATAAAAAGAAAGAGAGAGAGAGAGAGAGAGAGAAAGCGAGAGCGAAGGTTAATCCTGCGAATCCACGTAAGTTTACTCAAGTGCAACGTACTCGTAACTTCTCTCGACTACCCGTCTAAACGAGTATAACAACGTAAATACTTAGATATACGTCACGTAAACGAAATGAGAGAACTTAATAGACTTCAACGAGGGAAGGATTTTTTTTTCTTTTTTTTCTTTTTTCTTTCTTTTTCTTTTTTTTTTTCTTTTTTTCTTTCTTTCTTTCTTTCTTTTCTGTCTTTTTTTCCCCACCTGTTAAGATCCATGGAAAGTTTTCAAATTGGAAAACATCGCGTCCTGTCATTTGCATAGATAGAGATTATGATAATATGTATGTATCCATATTATGTATGTATCCATGTACGTATGTATATGTATGTAAAGGTGGAGCCAATGAAATTAATGTTCCATACGTAATTATTCTCTTGATTGACCGTTCTATGAGAAGAGAGAGAGAGAAAGAGAAAGAGAGAGAGAGAGAGAGAGAGAGAGAGAGAGAGAGGAGGAGGGGTGGTGGGCTGTAGAGGCGGAGGCCAGTGGCACGGTGAAATGTACTGACTTTTACTATTAAGTATGATTTGGCTATTGCCAATCTCTATATTCGCTTTAAGGGCGAGGTCATTCTGTGAAAAAGAGAGAGAAAGAGAGAGAAAGAGAGAGAGAGAGAGAGAGAACACAATGACTATACACGATCAGCTGATTTCTGTTTCGTGCTACGAGAAAATCTTTCCTACGTGAGTTCGATATCGTAGTGTACGTATCTTGAAATTCACAAGATTTAAATTTACAAGTTTGATTGTTAATTATTATTATATTAAAATGATTTTATTTTGAATATTTGATCTCATTTAATTCGATCACTTGAAATATCTCCGTCTTTTATTTTTTTTCTTTTTTTTTTCTTTTTTCTTCTTCTTTTTTAATGATACAAAGATATATAATTTAATTATTAATTACATTACAATTACTTTACTTACGATTAAATTTGACACATACTTTCGTGGTTATGTTTGAATGATTTTTTTTTCATTGTGTTTTTCCTTTTCTTTTTTTTTTTTTTTCTTTTTCCTTTTTTCTTTTTCTTGTTTTTATTTCCCATCAAAACTTCAGACTCTTTGATGTATTCCATGATATCATGAAAGACAATAAAGTTGATATCGTAGAACAATTTCCTAGTAGCATTATACAATAAAATATTACAATAGTAATCGATATCCCGATAGAGATGATTTAATGAATCCTTTTTATCAAGGATATGTATTGCTCATACCATTCTCATAATATCCTCATGGCATCCTCATGGTGTTCTGTATGTAGTAGACTCATATTACCGAATAATGGGTCCCACATTGTTGTAAGGATGAATTCGAACGTGAGGGTGGTCCTCACGTGTTTGCAAAGTATGCGGGAGAGTAACGAGATCCCTTTTGGTTTCTGTTTCAGGAACGAAAAAACGAGTCGACGAAGTCACTTCACCCAGAACGATTCATGATATACCGGAACACGTTTTGACATGTGGTCTTACATTGCCCG